AGCCCAGACATGTCTACTAAAAATTAGTAGAACTATATGGGTATTTTCTGGTATTTATGGCATGGGATTCAGAAGTGATGGCACCTTGAGGCACCAAAAGCATAAATCTGCATTTACCATGCTTCAGTGACAACACTTTGCTGTATGTCATTTCCAATTTTAGGTTGTCTTTCTCCTGTGAGGTCTTGAAATAGCCTTGAAGTTGCTAGCAGACAACATGGTAGTTCTTTGACTCCTTTGATAAAAGGATCTTGACTAGGAAGACCCAGCAAGGTTACTCAACATGACAAACGCTGCAAGATTTTCAGTGATTCTGTACAAACACACCAAAACTAAACAATGACATTATTCATACATACACACACAAAAAAGAAGATGTCCAAAAGATCTCTTAGCTGTAAAAATCCATATTCTAGACAGGTAAAATAATTCCAGTTATTATAAGCCATCTTTTTTTCAGAAAGCTTTTACTTTGCACAAGTCTCAATTGCACATATTCCTGTCATTTCCGTATCAACATGACAGTGCAGCTCATACCTGCGCCGCAGGGATGTCAGTGCCAAGTACATGGTGATATTCGGTCTTTGCTCTAACACCTTCCCCTTCTTTTTCTATTTTGGTATCTGAACATTTACCCTTCAAGTTGGTGATTTTTGTGATACTTAGTGCTAAAAACCTTTGCAGAGGCTGCTTTTTGGGCAGTTATAAGGTAATGAAAACAAGATAGTAAGAGTCCAGGAAGGGAATAAAGTGCACAGAGAGACAGGGAAAAGGACTGCTATGACCTACACAGTTTTTGCAAACTTAAGGTATGTGATTCTATGTTTATAAGTGTTCCAGCTTCTTAACATCCACACAAAAAAACCCCCAACACAGTAATAATTAGAAAACAAATTTCCTTTCCCATTTTGCCTTGGCACTTCACCATCTATTCTCTATTAACTGCTCTCTTCATTTGTTTGCTCAATCTCCTCTCTTGAGCAGATAAAAGGGTTTCATTAAAGCAAAGCCTAATGCTGTCAGTGTCAGGAGAGCTGCCAGCCCTGGTGGTTATAGTAAGTCTATTAAGCTGACCTAAGCATGCTAATACTTCAGAAATTCATTCTATTCACAGCAGTCCTTTGCAAATATTCCTTTATCACATATGAGAAACTAAGTTATGAAATTCAAATGAGTAACAAAAGACCAGACCCGACACTCCACCCTATCTTTATATATACATACAGTTCTGTCCTAAGAGAAGCAGCAGTATACTATCAGTTGTAACCCCTGCTGTACCAGAAGCTCTTCTTGAGCTTACAGAAAGGTCTGTCAACAGCTTCATAGAAGTATTCTTTTGCAGAAACTATTAAGAAGAAACCAACACTGGACCATCAAAACAGAACATTTTTTCCAAGTGTTTCCTGCCACAGTCCATCTGCAGAGCAGATGTTCTAAACTTATATGAAGGACATCTGTTATACCCATCAAGTATAGTTTAGATCTAATTTGGTCAGAGTTAAAAAAAAAAACCCAAAAACCAAAAATCCCCCACATTAACTAGATCCTACGTATCACTGACATCTTATGTTACTGCCATAGCATGTAACATGGTAGAAAATACACTGAAGAGTAACAAGTGAACTATGTAACAGTACTAGTTGGCAACAACACTTAAAATAAAAAACTTTATTCTCCTGAATATCATTTGCCATTCTTCAGAGCTATGCAGCTCCAGCTATTACTTCATGTTTAATCGAAACAAAGTTTTCAATGCAACACCACATTGAATGTTCGTCTCTTACCATAAGAGAACAAATGCCTAGCAGTAGTAGAGTTTCAGCTCAACAAAAATCATGGAGGGAAAAAAAAGAAAAAATAATATCCATGAGGCTTCTAAAATAAAAATGAGAGTGCTCAGACGGAAAGAGATTTATCTTAATTCTCCTCTCCTGAAAGATTAATGTAATTGTTTAGGCAACGTAGTAAATGGGGGCATGTAGGGACATGTTAGGCATTGGAGAGAGAGAGGGCACCATTCTCGTGTATAATAGGAAACATGAATAAATCATGCTGTTTATTGAGTAAGTGCACATTTACCCAAGAGCTACTGCCAGGCAAGTGCAGAAATGATGGTGGAGCCATCCCATGGCATCATTTCTCCAGCCATTTGTGATGACTATAATAGAAAACATTGGCTAGCAACAGCTTATTTTTCATTCATTCTCCATTTTCAGGCTTTGCAAAGGGTACTGGAGGCTCTACTTGTTTTGGCTGATAAAAAATTATATAGGTGGAAAAATAATAAAAGGACCATGGTTCTGTGAATAGACAGGATCATATTTTAAATTGAAAACCTAAACTGTCCCAGTAATTAAAAAAGCCCCATTCATCTCTTTAAGGGTTAGTAGAGAAAAACTAATCATACACATGCCCATTATTATGTGCAAACTGTACGCATCACCTAGTCCAATGAAGCTAACACTGCATCAGCCATTTTGCACAGAAGCAGAAAATAAACTAGCCTTTCTGATTCCCCAAGGAAAAAGAAATTACACTGAAGCCACCCACAGCAGGTGGCAAACGTGTTGCTTAGCCACAGCTTGCAGTGAAGCCTTCAAATAACGGACAGCTTGGAACTCAGACAGTGATGAATTAGGCTTCTTCACAATCACCTGAGCGTACCCATAAGCAATTCTCCTGTGTTATTTCATTAGTTTATGTCATAGCCTTGCAGGGCAAAACTACTTATACTAGATAATGGAACAGCCTGCAGAACTGTTCTCACACAGCTCACTTCTGCTGTTCTGCTGCATGGGAACACCTGATTATCAGAGAATAGAAAATAAAGATTGAGATACAGCATGAAGAGGCAAAGGAAATGTTCTGCAAATAAACCAACATTACACAAGAGAAATATGACACTTTTTTTTCTTTTTTCAGTAAACATTCTTAGGATCTCATCTGAATCATCTGTGATGCTTGTTAATGCACCCACCTAATGAAACAGAAAGACATCAATCATTCTGCCCTTAAATTCACTTCTAAGATCAGTTTTATACCATAACACTGGGTATTTCTGCATTCTTAATTTTTAAGCTTACGGAGAAGCATATGAATTAAGGACCTTGACAAAAATCTAGTCTGCCACAAAAGATGATTGGGGGAAAAAAAAGGGGGGGGACAGGGAGAGAAAAAGTAAATTCACCACAGAGAATATCAGAGGATATCAATGTGTTTTACAGGTTCTTCTCCAATTCCCTCTTCCTACCAAATGATTCCCCTCATGGTAAAAACTTGTTAGGAAATGACTGTGTGCAAAGGAACTCATGACATCTGCCCTCCAACTTATGTTTGTACAAAAAATGGTAAATTTTTAGTAACTATTAAAAAAAAGAAATTGATAATGTTCCAAAATTAAACACCTAAGAAAAAAAACTCTCATTTTTTTTTTTTTTTTTCAATTATCCATTACTAGCTCTAGGTACCACCAACACGTAAGGGTAAAGAAAGCAATAAAATCATTATTTCATAAGAAATTTATAGCATTTTTGTCTACAGCTGTTGATTTATGTAAGTGGACTTTATACTGCCAGGCAATGTGATTAATATACCAGAAAAGAAGGTAAAAAGTAGGTCAGTGATACAGGACAACGGTTCTTCAACTCAATTCACTTCTCTGCCTCCAATTCGAAGAATAACATTCATTCTTCATATTCTGGAGCACTAAATAACACTGTAACTAGATGCAGAAGAATTATTAGATGTTATCCAGCCTTGATCTTTACAGAAAATTCCCATGACATCTATAGAAATTCCACAGCTGAACAAAATAGAATCAGGTCCATGGCAAACACAGCTTTCAGGATTTGCTCTTCAATAAATATCACACGCGTAGAGAGACAGTGAATGTTAACATTTTATTTGTTTTGAACATATAAAGATTATAACTCTTGGAAACAATTCTCTTAGAGCCATCTTGTGGGGAAAATAAGCAATTCAGAACAATACATGTACTGTAATTGGTTTTCTACCAAAGAGACCACTGTTCAGTATGACATCTTCTAGTACTCTTTTTTAAAAAAAAATAAAAAATTTAAACAAAAAAGTCTTGGTCACAATGTAAACTTTATACAACATTGCTTAAATCACTGGAACATGAAGGAAGTGCTTTTCTGATCTATTATGTGTTAAAAATACTGGTTCTAGATAGAAAAAAATTATGTATCACTAAGTTAAAGATGTTATTTTTCTGAAGAATGCTTTTAGGCCAGATTCCATTTAAACTCCACACAACTGCAGCCCACAAAAAAAGTGCAACAACCTAGAGAAGGTAAGGTTTCTTTCAGAGCTGGCTTGGCCACATAAGTAAACCAAATGGAATTATTCCATCTAACTGAAACGGGGTAATCCCAAATACAGTAGTAGATTCAGCTCAAAGCTGAGAAGTTTTTATTCTTTAACAATCCTATCATTGCCAATTTATTTTACGTTTTGGTAATCTTCTGCTATCTCTGAAGGGCTTTACACCAGTTTATGAAGAATTCATTAAATGACAGTTTTCTGTTTGCATACAGTTAACTGAAGTACAAGGTTGGGCAGGCAATTTCAGAGTAGTTGAAAGTCACGACGCAGGCTTCAGTTCCCTAGAGCAATCAAACATCGGCTGCTGCTTGATCTACGTGTCTTGTCTACAAAGCAAAGCTTTTAAACTTTATCCTAGAGAACAAAAGCTCACATGTAGTCCATGTATCTTACTTGGTTTTAAGTTTTGCCCTAATAAAATACTTCACTTACATAAAACAGTAAAATGGATCACATCACATTTATCCACTATACAATTATCTTCTATTAATACAAAAGTAAAATAGGCTATCACAGAAAGCTTTTACAAAGTGCACAATCAAGAGGTGTCACAGAAATATGCACTTTTTGGAACTGTTACAATCAGTGTATAGTTTAGACTAGCAGTCACCTCTGTTAATTTTTCTTTTTTAAATAAATAAAGAAATTTGACAATGAAAGGGTCCTAAGGTAACCCAAAGCCTCTGACAGCTGTAACTAAACAGAACATACTGGTAGCCATATGTATAACCAGACAGTTTTGCTAAGGCAAACACGAGTATGTAAATTTTTAATTTTACACTTCTACCAAACTTTGGGTGAAAGATGGCGTACATGTGTGCTCACAGCTTTCCTTCCTTCTTAAAGACGATGACGAGATCTGCTTCCTCCACACCCTCTTTAAACTTTGGAAAGGAGCCCTGACTCAGGGGCACTCGCCTTAATGAGATTTTGGATTTCTTTGAATTTTGGGTGTTCTTTATCAGCTACCAGCTGTAGCAATATAGCTTCACTAGTAGTAACTATAATTCCAGTGCGAGCAAGACGCTGAAAGAGAAAAGAACAGAAAGAGAATAGCATGAAATACTTGCCAATGTGGATAAGTATACGTTTTCTAAAGACGACAGATGGTATTTTAAAAAACATTTCTTACTAACAAAACATTGCCAATTCCATTCCTGCATTACTAAGCAGTTCCATTTATAAAGCTAGGATGGAAAGTGACTGGTTTTAGACTTTACTGAGGAAAAAGGCTGCCTTGGATTACAAATAAGGCTTCCCAGTTGTACTGGATTCTTTCCCCATGTCAGACTCAATATGCAGAAAGCCCACCTCTGTTATATTAACAAGTCTTTCCCCTTGAAGAAGATAGCCTTCTTCACCCTCATATAGATGTGAAAGGCTCAAGGAAGAAAGAAAATCGCAAGGTCCAACCTAAAGGCATTAAGCAAGAACAAGTTTCTCTTTCAGGGCTTGTTATGTACTAGTACTTCCATCTTTGAACTACACAACATGGTAGTACTAAACACCTCACAAGATAGAACAAAGAGCTCTTCTACAGACCTTATAAATCATACTAGCACAACAGCAGCTCCTTTTAACCAACATCTCATTACAGCCTCAGTAAATCCTGAGTTAGTTCTTGGGCTACAGAATAAAAAGCATCACTGTGTAGAAAGCAAAACTGAAAAGAGGTCTGCTATATCTTTTAAGCATCCAACTAAATGCATCAATCCTTTGTGTAGCCTAAGCCACAAGGCTAAAAGCAAAGCTTTAAGACTCCAGTTGTTGCCTATGTAGCAAAGTTATCTTTAAGTAAGGGCTGACCATCCCCTGGCGCCCATCAGCTCCCCAGCAGTTGTACAGATTAATTGGCAGTAAAACTCTTCATGGAGCCAGCTTTCCCTCCATCATTCTCTATTCAGCTGCATGCTTCACCAAATCTAATGGGGTCATGAATGAGCCAAGGGAGGGCAAGAGGCAGAAAATACACATATATATGCATTCAGACAGGTTTTAATTGTAATTACTAAAGAAAATAGAAGCTCTGATTTTGTAGGGCAGACACAGATCACTATTGATGGGGGAAGTTATTAATTTTAGGGACCCAGTATGTAACTACAGTCTATATAATGTAAAGTATTTAAGCTAGATTTACACGTCAATGGCTATTTGTTTGCAACAATCGCAGTAAGCTTTGTGATATTTTGTTGAGACAAAGCAGATCTCTTTCCCAGCTCTCCTACTCTGTACAATGACACATTTGTTTAAAACACATATAAAAAAGAAAAATGGGACAATCAATATGAAGTATTATGGCAATGTTTGAGATGTACTTCTCCAGGAATACAAGCTTTTGTTTTTAACTAGTATGGATGAAAGAGGAAAAAAAAAAAGAAAAAAGACCTTTAAAGAACCTTGCCTTCTGAGAAATGTTGATTGAAAAAAAGAGAATGTTTTCTCTTTAGAAACAAAACATACCGTAACATGTCAAATAGGTTGGCATTAGCTTATACTCTACTTCTAGGACTAAGTATAATTTATACAGTTACATAGTTTTGAGATTAGTAGCAATGAAGAGATGCACATGTTAAGCATACTGGATGACCTTCAAGGAAAGGTTTTCTTTTTCAGTCTTTACCATGAATAAAAGCAGTGTGAGTGTGTTGCATCCACACTGCAGGAACAAACAGGAGAGATGCATAACAGAAAAGACCCAGCAGGAACAGACTAATCTGGCACTATCCAAGACAGCGACACAAGGCATCTTCATCAGACTGGGCAGAGATTTAAGAACAGCCAAAACCTTGGCCAGTTCGGTTGAATTATTTCAATGAAAATTTTGAGGGTTTTTCTGCTCTCTAGTTTTTTGTTTGTTTGTTTTTTTTTTTTGATTGCAAGTTTTGACAGCTGTCATTTTTAAGCGTGCAACAGAAGCAGAGACAATAATTCTTCAGGATCATCCAGGCAGATATGTAAGTTTGGCTATCAATTCAAACTGCGCTTCCTAGTATACCGATTCAGATACATGTTCAGCACCAGCACCATCAAAACACATTCTTTGTGAGGGGGAATGTGGGGCGGGTTGGGACTACGTGAGATTTATTTGAGGTTGCTGAGAAAGCTGTTTGTTATCACTGCAAGGTAGCTCTTTATCACTCTTGAAAGGTAATTGTGAATAGAGAAGGGCTGGTTTACTGGGAAAAGGTAAGTATCACATCCTTTCCCAGAAAGGTAGGGAGAAGGATCTAGGGACCTTGGATCCAAACCTCACCTCAGCTCACCAGGTATGGAACAAGGCTGAACAAGAGACAATGTCAGACTCACTAATTAAAAGAACATGATTAAACCTGTCAGCTGCATGGTGAGACTAAAGTAGGATTACCCAATGTGCTGGTATTTTACCAGCTTCCTTAAGAAACCTATTGCCATGGTCCATCAGGATTAGTGACATGCCCAGTACACGTGTCCCTTTCTCCTGGTCTCACAAGCATGCCCACCCCTTGCCCGCTCTAGCCCAGCGCCCTCAGCAGCATTTTTAAGAAAGGGTCTACAGCACGAAAGGGAGGCAATGTTGGCACACACAGCCATGGAGCAGGAGGAGAAGCTACTGCCATAAAACTGCCTGGGTCATCAACAACAAACCAGCAAGTGTTCCGCAACTCACATTTTAATGATGACTATTAAGGAACCACAGGAAAACATTTTCTTCGTGTTTGGTGAAAAAACATTGCAAAGACATACTAAAATGTTGCTTAAAATTGACCAATTTGCCTGGAGTACAGCTTTTGCAACCAACCACACTTTTAAGATGATTCATACCTTTTTGACTAGGAAGAAAAACCTCAATTACACTGAACCGACTTCTACACTTGCAGATGCAGTATGATGATCAAATGTACAAGTAAGTGTACAATAAGGCAAACAGATTTCAGTTCTTCTATATTTTGTTTTGCCTATTGCTGCTCCTGCAGCACACTGACTTGAGAAGTCCATGATTTCAGTCATTTCTGCACTCTGTGTGTGTCACTATTCTTTACGCAATGGACAACATCCAGCTTCCATTTAATCAAAGTCATGGGTTTCACCAAACACTATATGCTGGTGATTTCCCTTTAGCCTTTAATTCTCTTATTCATGAGAAACAGAAGAAATCAAAAGTCTTCTCTATATCTATGAAAAAAAGAGCATCAAATGCTGCAGCTATTAGTTTCAATTTCCAAATATTTGCTGTGGCCCAAGGCAAAAACTGCAATACTTAATGTACATATCAGTTTTTGATTTCCAACAGTGATGCCTGTAGGCAAGTTAAAGTACACAATCAAAAATCATTCGTATGAATTTGCTACCACATAGTTGTATGTGCTTTTAAATCTTCTTGTTACATTTATCTCCACTTTCCCAACATTTAGATAAGCTTTAGAAGGAGGGGGGAAGGTCTTTACTATAATCAGAGTCTTGAGATTAAGCTTTAATTTGCACTGATGAGGAAAAGTAGAGACATACAAGAAGGAGCTCTGAATAGGACCACTTACTATATTCCATTGCATTTCAAAAGCAGAGTACCTTTTCCACAATAAAACCAAGAGCTCTGCAACACTTCTACTCTGCTGAACAGATAATACACCACGAGAAAATATCCCAAACTGCTAATGGTTATACAGAGTAACCCAGACTGCACAAAACAATCACTTTGGAAATCGAAGTGTCCCAAACTGGATTCCATATATTTAACCATAATTTTGGGAGGAAAAATAAGGTAGTAATCCTTCTCCTTCCTGGCAGCTACTGTGAGAATCAGAGCACGCACCTCTTTCCAAGTCTACATTTGTCCACTGCTTACTGGCCTTAAAAATTCCTTGTTTACTTACAATAAGCAGTTAAATTAACATACAGACCCAAGGTGGAGAAAGCCTTGACTAAGAAAGTTACCTCAAGAGCAAACATTCTGTCCATCATACTTCTTGATGAGGTGGCATCAGCTACAATATGAACTTCCAGACCTCTGCCGACTAATTCCAGTGCTGTTTGCTGGATGCAGACATGAGTCTACAGGGGAGAAACCAAAGGCAAAAAAACCCACCAAAACCTCATTATTATAAAACATTAGTAGCACAATGACAAATTAGAGTACATATTTAATTAGAGTTCAAACATGTATTTTTCAACTCTTGACATTACTAGAGAACTCAATGTGAGGTTCAAATGGCAAAGAAGCTTGAGACAAGAGCCTGTAGTTTAAAGTATCTCATTTCAAATTTTATTATGAGATAATATCAAACCTATATAACAACAATAATTTAATCTGTATAGGACATATGAGCTCTAAGCAATATAAATTGATTTTTTTTTTTTTTTAAATAACAGAAAGCAATGCTAAATACAGCTGTGGGCCAACAGACATTACTGTAAAACAGTACAAGAATGGCAAGGCACATACCTCTACTCCAAACAAGACAACACTGCGGACTCCAGGGATCTCTGCTAAAGCTGCTTCGACTTCTGGCAACACCATTGAAAATTTTGTTTTAGGAAGTACAAGTTTAGCTCCTGTTAAATCAATTTCTTGCACAGTGCTGCCAAGACCTTTGGGATACTGTTCAGTTACAATAACTGGAATTCCTAAGAGCCGTGCACCTTGGAGCTGCAAGGGGGAAGGGAGGAAGCATATAAGAAAATAAATTATTAAAGAACAATCATAGCAAAAGCACTGTTATTAGCTAAAGCCGAATAACCAGTAAACTGGCTGTGTATAAAATAATGAATCTGCATGTGTGATCAAAACTCACTACAAGAAATAAAGCAACTACCATACCAGCCGTTGGCCCACGCTGATGATATCACCGAAATACTTGATGGCAGGCCGGAATCGCTCCTGCATATCACAGCAGAAAAACACAGTGCTTGAGGGGGTCAGGTTGCCCAAAGTAGTCATCTGAAAAACAAAATAAAGACAACATTTTCCATGGGAGTGAAGACGCTTTCAGAAAAGCAGGAGAATGAGAAAAGAGCCTGCAAGACCTCTGCCAGGTAACAGATTTATGTTACTTTAAGTCAAATAGGAGAAAGGTTTTTCAAGCATACCATAGTTTTTGTATGTTTCTAAATTCAAATGAACAGCTGATACTGAGCAGTATGGTACAGGCATCCATAGGGAATCAAGATTTGATTAGATGAGAGACACAAGTTAATGTAAATGTACATGAAAACTTCTGAACTCTGAATGGGAATGGAGGAGCATACTGCCTAAAGTACTGTAAAAAAAAAAAAACCAAAAAAAAAACCAAAAAAAAACCCCAAAAAATCAACAACAAAATTACATTCCTCAAATTTATTTTTAAATCCACAACTCTTAGAACTGACATAAAATCAGGATAAAGTTAAAAAAAGTCACACTTCTACTTGCTTTCAATACTGTATGTACAGGTATTTTCAGCATGTTCATTGTGTAGTCAGTTTGTTTTGTCTATAAGTTCTTTTAGCACAAGTCTGATGGAAGTCCAAAGGCAGGGAAACTTGTCAGTAGTATAACCAGAACAAAAAATTAAAATAAAAAAAAATTAAAAAAACATTTAAAAAAAAAAAATCAAAGATGGCATTTTCTCACATGTTGAACCACGCTTTTTATTCATATAAAATTAGCTGCACTACCTGCTGAAGCAAAGGATAAGGCTTCAGCTAGAGGCTACAAGGAAAGAAAGCAACTACATACTATCACTTAGTTGTAATGGAACTCAAGAGAACTTGTATGCATTCAGAAGCTTTTTAGCAAACTGACAAATCAAATTGGATAAACTGCTTCAGGCAAGTAGCCATTAACTGTATACACTTCATTTTCTGCAGACTGACGTGGTATTTTCAATAAAAAAAAATAAATCACAAAATCTGTACAATAGTGTAGTTTGGAAGAGCAAGGATGTATCTGGTTTACTTGGCAAGGTGGGGGAAGACTGCAGGGGTGCATTTTGTGAGAAGATGCCAGAAGCTGCCACATGCTAGACAAGGCAAATATCAGCCAGCTTCAAGGACCCACCGCCTGCTAAGGCCAAGCCCATCAGCAATGCCAATGGCACCTCCAACATACTTAAAAAAGGGTTAAAGAACCCAACACTGTGCAGCAGCAGCTCGGAAACAGGAGTGACACAAACAACTCTGCAGACACCGCTGTCAATGAGGAAGGAGGGGAAGGAGGTGCCCCAGGCACCGCAGCAGAGACTCCCCTCTCCTCTTGGACGACCCCACACAGGTCCTCCAGATCTGCCACAGGGCATGTGGATGTGCCCACAGGAAGCTGCAGATCTGTGTCCCCATGGAGAGAGGAGCCCAGGCAGGTCTTCTGGCAGTACTTGTGCCCCTGTGGGAGGGACCCACACTGAAGCAGTCTGTTCCTGAAGGACTGCACCCCATGGAAGGGACCCACACAGAAGTTTGTGAAGGACTATCTCTTAAGGCAGAGATGCCACGCTGGAGCAGGGGAGGAGTGTGAGCAGGAGGAGTGGCAGAGACAGAACGTTATGAACTGATTGCAACCCCCATTCCCATCCCTGTGAGCTGCTTGCAGGGACGAGGTAGAAAAGTCAGAAGTGAAGCTGAGCCTGGGAAGAAGGGAGGGGTGGGTGGAAGGTGTTTTTACATTTGTTCTTATTTCTCATTTTCCTACTCTATTATTGAACAGTTAATTAATTAAATTCATTTCCCCAAGTCCAGTCTGTTTTGCCTGTAAAGGTAACTGGTAAATGATCTCCCTGTCCCTGTCTTGACCCACAAGCTTATTGTCGTATTTTCTGACCCTCACCTGTTGAGGAAGGTGGGAGTGATAAAGCAGCTTGGTGGCCTTCTGGCGACTAGCAAAGGTCAACTCACCACAAGCGAATTCCGAATCCTTAAATATTAGTCCCAAGTCTTCCATTGCTTCACTACATGTGTGCATAGTAAAACAATTTTGATATCAATTTCCAGAACTAAAAATCTACAGTAATAGCCTGTTCAAACTGTTGTGAAAGTTACTTGTGCATTGTAATTGTAAATTCCCACACCTCCCACATTCAGCACACTACTCCTGCCAAAACAACAAACGCTTATAACCGCAGCGGGCTAAAAGGCAATGCTGTTAGTACAAGCAGTTACAAAGGCAAATGCAGTAAGGACCAGAAAGCAGGTAGTCTAACATTGGACCCACTGGTGCCACAGGAAAACAGAAGAGCATCACAATAGACACCAGGGAAATCTTTGTCCATATGAAGCTACAGCTGCACTGAAACAGGTTACCACAGGTGGTGGGATCTCCATCCTCAGACATCATCAGCATTCAGCAAAATGAGAGCTGATTTGATGAGGAACTGGCTTTGCACAGGAGTTAGGGAAGGCAGTCTCTAGATATCTCTCCTAAACAGTACTTCTATACCATGTAGTAAATAAGGTCCGGGATCAAGAATGCTTGAAAATAAAATACTGAATAACTGCCTTGTTCTTGAACATCACCCATCTACATGCTTGAACAACACAAAAGCCAGTTGGTGGGAAGTATTTACATACAATTCAACATCACAGTGAGCACTCACAGTGACCCATTCTAACTCTAGCACTTAATACCATCAAAGCAGTCAATCGTGACATTTAACTTTCCTACCGCTCAGAAGCAAAAATAGAGTAATTGGAATAGACAATATTTGTAAGTGTGCCTCCTACTCAGAAAACGTGTCATCTTGTCTCAGCATGTATATGACAAGCAAAGACCATCATTTCCTTTTAGAAATCATTTCACTCTATTTTTTTTTTAAGATCATTTTGATCGACTGTAGACCATCATTGTAAAGTAATCAATGTGGAATTAGTTTACTGCCTTAGTGTACATCTCCCTATGTCAAGGCACTGGATGGCACTACTATCCTTAGCAAAAGAACAAGCAGGAATATAGACTAGGAAGTCTTCAAGAAGCTGCAGAGTCTGCCTCTACAGAAGGATCAACCAAATGCAAACATTCTTCACAGATATTTACCTGATCTGACCCATATGCAATACACAACACACAGAGCTCTTATACAATCCACCCTACAGCTGTTACCTTTACCTTGAAGTGTTTTCTCACCCATACCTCCTTTGTTGTCACTTAGGAGCATTACTTCCATTTCTGTCCACGGATTTGAAACGCAAAAGCATCACCATCCTCTTTCATGTGCATAACCATGCACAAACGCTTATTACGATACCCTAAGACTCCAGATCCAGTCTCCCTTTAGTCCTTCACCTTCCTTATTGTAAAACAAATCAATATTTTCAGTCTTCCCTCCTACAACTCATTTTCATTGCCCTTCCAGTTGTGCTTTTCAAATAGCAGTCTAGAGCAAGGCACCCAATACTACTGTAACAGCAGTACTTCTCTGCCCATAATACTTCTCAGCACTAGCAGACTCAAAGATTGCTCAGTTCCCAGCCCTTGCAGGCCCTGTTCAATTTGTACTTTCCAGTGTGCTATTTGCTTTTTTCATAATTGATGATACTTAAGACTCCTGAGTATCCTCAAAATCATTCCTTGAACTCTCCCTCATCTTTTATTTGCATAGTTATTATTTCTACCTTAGCACAGGAATTGCTTCTAACTTTGTTGCTTCCGTTTTGAACAGCACCTTATTTCACGTTCTTTCTCCAACTTGTCATGAAAAGCCTGAATTCCGCTCTTTCAGATGCTTGCAGCTCCTCCTAACTTGGCACCTTCTGCAAAACCAGTATTTGCCCTAAGTTTGGGCAATGACATAGGTGGTGGAATATTTACAAACAGTAGATTTAAAAGAGATCTCAGAGCCAAATTCAATATTATTCTCATTTGATACTGAAGCACAGAGATAAAACAACTGTCTTTCCAGCCACGGATCATCCTCAATACAGACTTTTACTGAATCCATAATTCCATGTGTTCATGCCAAACATCACAGGGAGCTGGAACAAAAGGCTTAAACCTGCTTTCCTCTATCGACAAGTTGGTTTAATATGATTTAATTTATGCCTTCAGTTTAATGCAACCAACACTTGAGTCAACTATAAATAAAAGCTTTTACGAAATCTAACACCAGTAAAACCTATGTTGAATTTCATATTTATTTCTGATTAACCTCTAGTCTGAATCAAACCATGCCATGCAACTTGTGGCAGAATATAAAGAAATCAGAAGAAATAGATGGCAAAAATAAAAATTAAAACAAATAAAAAAAATCAACACTTGCTGACAGAATAGCAGATGTGCAAAGGATAAGACTGCAGCAGAAAGCAGTCTGAAATCAAGTTTCATAAATAGTGGGTAATGTAGGCCATAAATAAATTCACAGAAGTATCTGCTATGTATAAAGAAAAGTTTCTGTTCACTGGGTCTTCAACATGCCACATAAATCCTACCACTCACTTGCTCTCAAAGCCATCCACCTCTTTCAGAGACTCACTGTGCCAGGGACATGGGACACCTCCACCTCACACACCCCCTGACAGTGAAAACCACGACTGCCTGTACGGCTCCAGCATGGCACCCTACCAGTGAGCTGGGGTGGGAGCAAACCTACACCCAGACAGCAAACCCCAGGCTGGCGCACCAGCACCCGTTTACCTTCACCCTGGGAAAGGCAGGCTGGGAAATGCTGGTGAGCCACTGCAGCTACCTGTGGGTCAACTATGTATTTCCTAAATAAAAGCAAACCCACCCCAAATATAACATCTACTCAGCCATGATACCGTTAAACAACCTAAATTTAAAGACAAGCAAACAAAACCTAAAAAAATCAAACATACAAAAAAACCCAACACCAAATCACCTGAAGTTCCCACACACAGTAAGTTTTTCCTTTTGTTTAGCTTCACCCCTCTCAGTCACCAGGACATTCTCCCTTCCATCTGATAGTTATCCACAGCACAACCAGAATATGTACATCAGACAGACATGTAACCTGA